ATGTCTATTTCCGATATTGAACCAAATTCTTCTATAAATATAGTAAAATCTATCTATCTATCTATCTATCTATCTATCTATCTATCTATCTATGTGTGTGTGTGTAAGAGAGATATATATATATATATATATATATATATATAGAGAGAGAGAGAGAGAGAGGACATAGGAGTCAACACCTCATGCCTACATCGATATCCATAAAATGTCTATTTCCAATATTGAACCAACTCCCCCTATAAATGTAGTAGATTTTCAACAGCATATATACATATATATATATATATGTGTGTGCGTGTGTGTGTTTGTGTGTATGTGTGCATGTGTGTGTGTGTGTGCATATTCGTGCACATGTGTAGTTGCATGAACATAATCATTCCTTTACATCGCGTCACACAACGTTTTTCACTTTGTCATTAATGTTCCCAATATATATATATTCATATGATACAACTGAAATATACGTAAGAATATGCCAAAAAAGTTCTCAGTAGATAATTAACCATCTCAAAAATGGAATCGTCATTTCTAGAATAAAACTGATATGAAAGATTGGAAGAATACTTGGAATAATTCAAAATATATTGATAATTCCTAGTTTCAAAAATAAAAACAAAATTTATCAAACTGATTGTCACGAATATACATTTATATTTTACCCTGGACATCGGAGTAAAAACTTCGTTGTCAAATGGACCACTTATTTTATAAAGACTTCATTGTCAAATGGACCACTTATTTTATAAAGACTTCGTTGTCAAATGGACCACTTATTTTATAAAGACTTTGTTGTCAAATGGACCACTTATTTTATAAAGACTTCGTTGTCAAATGGACCACTTATTTTTACTATTATCCAAATTTCTGTTTAAATAATGAATAATAGAAATCAATCAATAAATATGAAAAGAATATGTATATATCTAATAAATAGTATAAGATTATTGTCAAATCTATATTATAAGACAGTTTTTAAGAAATCACCTGTACAAGAATCATTAGTCAAAAATAAGCAAAAAGAAATAAACGTTCCAACATAACGATTTCCCTGCAAATTCTTACAATTACAAATGAAACAAGTAACGGGTAGTTGTGGAGAGCTATGATTTCTCACACCCTGTAGGAACATGGCACATAAAAGATGAATTGTTTGGTCAATCTCCTGCCACTTTTCGTATTGGCAAACTGCTTGTGTTTAAACTGAATATATATTGATAACTTTGTTTTTTAAAAAGCAGGGCCTTTTGCCTTCGCTTTTCCCCCCCCAGAAAAAAGTGCAGTCAACCACCATGAAAATAACAAGCATGAAAAAATGAGCTTTAAAAATAGAAACGACAGAAAAAGAAAGTAGTCAGAGCTTAGAAGCGATAAATCCAAATAATAGAAGCTATTTTTATCGCAAGAATTTGCAGGCTAATGTTTATTTCCGACGGAGTACAGGTGTACTTTTTGATTCTGACAACTGAAAATTAAGAAAAATATAGGATGCGCATGTGGTGTAGTGGTTATCCATGAGGAAAGTAGAATAGACGTGCGGGGTTCAAATTCCAGCCGACTGCTTTGTTCACTTTCGCACAAATAGTCTTGGAAAAATATGAAACCATCCTTGTCTCCACCACCAGCTAGGGGTTAATAGGTGGACAAAATAGGTTCACTAGCCTTGGTTGGCAACCAGTCTAGGAAATCACAGAATTCAAAACTAGATGGATGGGTGCCGTCGGTTTATCTTGCCCTAGACACATCAGTGCTGCTACAGCTGCAGTACACGCAGTGCGCCTACGACTTCAATGGTTAGGGTCTCATGACGTCAGGATAATAGCCTTAAGTTATCCTAATTTCTTAGATGAAGCACTGTCATGAAATGTGAATTAGCGTTCCTTTCATCCTAAACCGAAGTGCCAAAAAAAACCAAAAAAAAAAAACCAAAAAACAATCAAAAAACAAACTTAGAAACATTTACTTAATAACGTGCAGCTTCCTACTTCTCCTGAATAAAAGCGGTTACGCGACGTGACATGAGTTCTGCAAAATTTCGGAGATGGGGTGCCTCAAAAAAAAGCAATTCCATTATTACCCGTCGTACCCTAATTTTCCGGACTTCGATTATTTGGACGTAAAAATGAAGAGAAAAATTTAAATCAGGCTACATTTTCCGATCAGTGTGTCTCGTGAGATATGGTTCAGCATAAACTGAACCGCTCTAATAAAAAATTTCAAAGTAATTTTTCGTCGAAAGTAAAGCGGCTATTTTTACTACAGAAGACCAAGATGCGTAAAGCCACTGCGCTAGGGAAACGGTGAAAAAATTCATATTTTTATGTGGAGAAAATATTTTTTTACAATTTAAAAAATTGAAGATTTCGTCTTCTAATATTATCACTGATGACACGTGATTAACACATGCTGTTGCGCGTAATTTATTTCTAATTTATTCATTTGAAAATACAAAAAATACATTTTTAAAATAAAAAAAATATATTTATTCTCTAGAGAAAAGAAATTAATTTGAATGTTTCTCGTTTCTAAAACAAAATTACAAAAATATTTTTACAAGTATAATCTTCCTTAATGAAAATCGCTAATGGTTTAAAATACTGAAAAAATTACTTTCAACGAAAGATTAAAAAATTCAAGAAACATCGGATTAATCATTATTATGTCAGTGGTTTTAGTCGAACTGTACCTACAACGCAACTGGTATTAGTAAGTAAGGGAGATTACTTAGGCATTTAATAGTTATTTCCCTTTTTTCTCAAACTCTAGGCGTGAGAGAAAATGTAAGTAAACAAGTGAGAAACAAAACGTAAACACTTAATAAACGTTGTTTTCCTCATTAAATTAAGCGTTTTATTCAGAAGGTCAAATTGACCACATGTGGCCCGCAGGAGGCAGTTTGCCCAGGACTGATTTAAATCTTCTTAACATTTTTCCATTATTCGAACTAAACACATTTCACACGAGTATTTTAGAATTTAGAAATCCACACTCCACATTCAAATTTTCAATTTCAAACATTGTTTGACAAAGTTGGTTATGTTTTCGACCAGGATTGACTCTTGCAAATACATCTATTTTGATCAAGCTTCATTATTTCTAAAGCGAAAAATGCGAGGCTAACCAGAAACACAAAAATTGACACATATTTTCATAAAAAGGATCAGGCAAAATTTTGAACAAAGCATTTGAAATCATCCGGACATTTTTCAAACATCCAAACTAAACCCATTCTAAAATTTTATTCAGACAAGGATTTTGAGAACTTAGAAACCATACTCGACAATTTCAATTTCAATTTCAAACACCGAAGCCATGAATGTGTTTGACAAAGTTGGTCATACTTTCAACCAGAAGCTGCCCTTTCAAGTACATCTATTTTGATCCAGCTTCGGGTGTTAGGTGGAAAAATACGACAAAAAGCAAAAACAGACAACAATTGTCGGATTTTATTCACAAAAATAAGCTGAACAAAACCGTGTTATTTGATGATATAAATGTCGAATTTCTTTCAGAAATCTTCATTAATTTTTGATATCTTAAGTTTTCAAGTATCTCGAATTTTGAGTTTTCAGAAAATATTTTTTTGTTCTTTATTCCAATGAAATATTTTCTCCCATGGAAGAAAAGAAAAAAAACAAAAACAAAAAAAACAAACAAACAAAAACAACTATGACGTCACATCAACATTCAAAGGGGAAACCAGTTATTCAAATTACAAAAGAATCGTAGAACTGATTTCTTTATTTGTTGGTAATTATCGGCTAATCCTCTGAGGCCCTAGCGATCAACGCAGGCGTCCCCCCCCCCGCAAGGTTCACTTCTCGGCCCAACACTCTTTCTACTTTACACAAATGATCTGCTACGATCATTTGTGAATATCCATGTTGATGATACAACGGTAGATTAGTGCACTTCGAAAACTCTAGATGACCACAGTCTGGCAGCTGATCTCTTCTCTGACCGAGCTTTAACAGCTCAGCGGGGAAAAATGGGTGGATACATTCAATGCCTCGAAAACCAAACTCGTGACATTCCATCATCACCGAACGAACCCTGAACTTTCTCCTCTTGCGATGACCGTGTGTTCTCTCAGAGAGGACCCACCCCCGGGCCTTGAGCGTCTCTTTAAATTTCTGAAAACACTGAGCACGCTGTTTGTTTGTTTTGTTTTGCGGCATATCAACCTCAATGGGTTATTTAATACCGACAAAATTTTCATTGTTGGTAGTATTTTTTTTCCAAATATCTATTTCTGGTAATATTTTTTCCTTCAAAAATTTATTTCTGGTAAGAATTTTCCTTCACTGGTAATATTGTTTTATCAAAAATATATTGCTGGTAACATTTTTTTTACAAAGTATTTCTGGTATTAAAACCTATTTTTTCACTTTCATAGTGTTTTGGCCAGAGTTTTGGGGTTAACTATTTGCCCATAGCTGGGACCCTAACAGGTGCTACCACCCCGGATCAGGGTGGAACTGGGAACATCAGCAATTAAAAGGCCTTGCTGTTGAACGTAGTTTGTCTTACCCAGAACGCGGATGTAGTTTATCGTCATACCCAGGACGGGAGCACGTTATGACCATATTCATAATATATATATATATATATATATATATATATATATATATATATGTGTGTGTGTCTGTGTGTGCGTATGGTAAGAAATGCAGAATAACACCTCACCAGAACATGCGTATTTTGTACACCAATTCGTTTATGATTGAATTTATTTATGAAAAGGAAATATTAAAAAAAAAATTCATGGAAATTTAAAAACAACCTTGACTGACCTTAAGTTTTTTGAAATCTGAAAATATAATTGAACTCTAAATCCTAAAATATTATTGAAAACTAACACATGGCCTGAAGATTATGTTCTAGTATAAAATCGTCTGTTGCTGCTTGGTGTTGACCTCATTGTTTTTGGATACGTATCCATTTATTATTGATCTTATTTATGAAAAGAGAATTTTGAACGATAAAATTTACGCTAATTTAAATCTAATCTTAAGCTGCCTTTAATTTCTTGAAATATAATTAAGCATTAAATAATTACAGGTTTGAAGATAAGTCCCCAGAGAAATCGAATCGATTGAAAATTTAATTTTAAGCTGCGTAAAATTATGCCCTGAATCAGAATATAAAACTAGAATATTATTCTTTTGCGAATGTTTTTAATTACTTTTTCGATAAAATAATCGGTAGACTTTTGGGTTGTGGGAAAAAATCGTTGAAATTTTTTTTAAAGATTTATTTTCATTTATTCAATTAATAATTTTTAAAAACATTTTAAATGATTTGTTTTTATTGGCAATTTAGAATTTTTCTTCAATAATTATGTTTGAATAATTGAAAAATCTAAGATGTGGTTGCAGTCACGTTTAAAAAGAATGAAATTTACCATTTCAAGGTTTTATTTTGTATGCGCGCGCGTAGGGGAGTGTTTTTCTTTATTTTTACCATCTTTCTTTCTCTCTCTTTTCTCTTTCGTTCTGTCTGTCTGTCTCTTTCTCTGTCTCTCTGTCTCTCTGTCTCTCTCTGTCTGTCTCTCTCTCTCTCTCTATATATATATATATATATATATATATATATATATGGGTAAATAGCAGGAAAAACAGTTCTATAGCATTGGATGGCAACTGGTCTAAGAGAAGTACAACTCTAAATTCAAAAAACCGCGTTGGGTCGTTTGGGGACCTTGTGGCACGTAGTGCACCAGGTTTCTTTATTCGGCCCTCCAAAAAGTGTGGTTGGTTCTGCACAAAGCCTTCACCACTATAATCAAATCATATGTGCTAGTGTCTGGTTACCAGTTCCTAGGAACGGAGCTGCTTGACCTTCATACGTCGAAAAGCGACGGGAGAGTCCACCATATATATATATTCCGTCTGAAGTCATTACGCAAATCATATAAACCCCAATAACTCGAATATACTTTGAACAATTTTTGTTAGATTTTAAAAGATTTAAACGTCAGACTAAAGCTTGAGTTAAATTTTTAGGTAGTTTCAACATGTTTTATTAAATTTATTGGATTTATTATAAAAACCATAGTCTGAAGTTATTATGCAGATTAAACTAATATTAGGTTAAGGCATCTGAAATTTAATAAAAATTATTTTTCTTTTTTGCCTAATATAAGTATGTGTAATAGAAAGAACCTAACAAATGTTGCAAAAGAGAAAATAACAAAATTATTAAATGAGGGAATGTCCACATGATAGATACCAAAGGATGAAAGAAAAGAATGAAATTGTGTGACTTTGTAAAAAAAGCGGTTAATATTTATTCTGTATCTTTTCTCCATAATTTTCTTGTTCGTGAAATTTATTTATACATTTCCACTAGTGTATTATGGTATTTTCAGAATTACTCGAAAGAAAAAGATTCATTTCGCATTTTCTGAAATTAATTTAAGGTAAATCCTTATTTATTAGTTTTCAGAATGGGTTGGAAGTAAAAGATTTCTTTGTTTTTATGTCTGTCCATATGTTTGCCGTGTCGGCAAAAATTTATATGATTTGCATAACTCCAGACGGACTGTACATATGATTGTCCGATTTTGTTAAATCTATTTAAAACGGTGGTATTCATCTATGACAAGCCCTTATTTGTTGCAAATAAGGTTACTTTAAAGCATTTTATTATAGAAATATATATATTTCTATAATAAAATGCTTTAAAGTAACCTTATTTGCAATTGTTTCCTATAGTAAAATTACTTGTAACTCATTGACATTATACATATCACCGTCTTATCCTGTCATTAACCCTTTGAGCCTTGCGTTCCTGAACAATTTTAACTCTTCTGCCTGAGCTGCTGAGTCAAAATTCGCAAATATATGTATAAATAGGTACATTGAGAGAGACACATTAAAAAAGGTTGAGAGAAAGATACATAGAGAGAGCAAAATAGAGAGAGAGAGAAAGAGCACATAGAGACAGGAAGAGAGAAAGAGTGAGGTATATAGAACGAGAAAAAGAGACCGATAGAGAGAGAGGGGGGCAACATAGAGAGAAAAAGAGACATATTGAGAGAAGCAGAGAGGCAGAGAGAAATAGGCACATAGAGAAAGTGACAAACAGAGGAAGAGGGAAACAGAGAGGTACATAGAGAAAAAGCGGCACAGAAAGAGAGAGAAAGAAGAACATAGAGAGAGAGAGAGAGAGAGAGAGAGAGAGAGAGAGAGAGAGAGAGAGAGAGAAAGCGGTACATACAGAGAGACGCATAGAGAGAGGCAGAAAGAAAGATGGAGGTACATAGAAAGAGAAAAGAAGGCACAGAAAGAGAGAGAGATTGAGAGAGAGAGAGAGAGAGAGAAGCACATAGAAAGGCAGAGAGACAGAGAGAAAGGCAGAGAGAGAAAGAAAGAGAGAGAGGCAAAGAGAAAGGCATGGAGAAAAACAGTAAAGCAAAGAGAGAAAAGAATGAGAGAGAGAGAGGGAGAGAGAGAGAGAGAAACAGAAAAAAAGAATAAAAAAAAGATGTATGGCTAGCATAACGGTTATGGGTTCGAAAAGTTGATTAGCCGAACCGGTTTCAAATTCCGGCTTCGTCTGTAGAGTTCCTTCACATTGCACTGGAATTCTTGGGAAAGGCATGAATCGATCTCATTTTCATCTCAGCTATGAGTAAAATAGTAGTGTAGACTGGGATCTCTAGTCATGGAAGTCCGCTAACCTAAGAGAAAGAATACTCTCTATTCAAAACTATGGAGAAGGTAACTCTGTTATGTTAATCAGCGGCAGAGTCCTTCATTTTCGTAATAAATCATGGCGAGTCACTGATAATAAAAAGAAAGGAAGCCGTGGAAAGCCATGATTCTTTAAATACTGAAGAGACATGGCGTTAAAAGAAGACACCATCTGACCAGACGGTACACAAGACCTGACCTTTTCAATGGACCCATTTTGTCCTGCTATTTACCCATAGCATAGGGGAGAAGAAGAGGATTCATACATTTCCCAAGGGTAAGAGCACATAAGTGAATGTAATAGATTCGACTGGAATTCGAACTTGGCTCACCTGCCCTTTTTGATGGCGTGTAAAACCAGCTTTCTGATGGCACGCAAGACCCGCCCTTTTCAATGTAAATATTAGAATTTCATATATTCGTAATAGATAAAATGTTGTTATGAACTGAACCAGCAACATTAAATAAATAGGGGAGGGATTTTAGAAGCCATCATAGACAGGAGATATCTACTATATTTGCTAATATGTAAGACACATCCCGTAATATTTGGAATTCATAAATTTATGATTAATGCGTGAAAAGAGACTTACTTTGAAGCTGGCTTTGAATTGGGGTCAAAAACGAAACATGGAATCTCTTCTAGTAAGCTTCGATTCAACAATTTGTTTGTGTTAATATCCCTTGTTGAAAAAAAAAAGCATTCTTATCTAGCCATTGGTTTTATAGAGACAATTTTATTCTTTTAAGAGGTAGAATTAATGCAGATATGTGGGCAAGATAACGTTGAATCCTAGACATGAACAGATTAAAATTGTAATGATCGGGAAAACACCCTCATGGGAGTCGGTTCCACAGAGCAGCGGTTCGCGGGAAGAAGCTGCTCGAGTGGAAATTACATCTCACCAATGGAATAGAAAGGGAATGAAGATGGTTCACTATAATGTGTATATGACAGGGAGGGTTTTAGCCGTGAAAGTTAGAACTGGTGGAACTAAAGTATGTAGTTCATCTAAACACTTTTCATAGAAATAGTGATAGAATAGTGTGAGGCTTTCGTTTCGTTTGTGGGAAAGGGGTTGTAGGATGGAAAATAATTCATCACCCATAAGGACGCGGAGACACTTTTAGACTCTATCGAGACTGGAAAGCGAGGACTGGGCAGATACTGTCCATATATAACAGCAGTACTCCATTTTCGGCCTCTTGTAAATGTAGAAGATGGCGGGAAGAGTTATCTACTTACTGGAGCGGTACAAAGGACAGACCATTTTTCTAGCATCTTTAGCGATGGATCGTATGTGTGCGTTCTAGTTGAGGACTGGCTTGTGTTTAAGTCCCAATAGGCGCTTAAAGTACGGGGCCTCCGTGAAAGTACATCCATTTATCGTGATTGGTGATAGTTCAAGGTCTGATTGGCGATGATGGAGAGTAACTAGTTTGGTTTTCGAGGCATTGAATATAATCAGCCAGTTTTTCTCCAACTGAGCAGTTAGAGCTCGGTCAGAGGAAAGATCAGTTGCCAGACTCTGATCATCTAGAATTTTGAAGATGCACCCATTTACCGTTGTATCATCAACATGGATATTCACAAATGATCGGAGTATAATCTTATGAATATCATTTATATAAAATAAAAAGAGGTTTGATCCAAGGAGGGACCTTTGGGGGACTCTTGCGTTGATTGTTACTTACTGGAGTGGTAGAGATAAACGACCAGCATCTTTAACGTATATGCGAGTTCTATTTGAGGCGTTAAAAGCACTGAGCCTCTGTGAAAGTACACCCATTTATCGTCATTGGTGATAGTGCGGGGTCTGATTGGCAATAATGGAGTGTAACATGTTAGTTTTCATGGCAGTGAATATAATCAGTCAGTTTTTGCACAAATGAGCTTTTGGAGCAAAGGTCAGAGGCGAGATCAGATCTCAATCTCTGGTTATCTAAAGTGTTGGAGGTGCAACCATCTACAGTTAGGTCATCAGTGCTACAATCATTAAAATTAATGATCTACTCAGTGATAACTAGAACATTACGAGTATTGAATGTAACCAGCAGATCTCTACCCATCATTGAGCTGTTAAAACTCAGTCAGAGGAGGGGCCAGCTGGCAATCTCTGTTCATCTAAAATTTTCGCTATATCATCAGAGTTCTTATATACTATCATAAAAATTAAGGATCTACTCAGTGATAACAGAATATAAGTAGCCTGGTTTTGTAGGCACTGAAAATAACCAGCCGATTTCACCCCGCTATTGAACTGTTAAAGCTTGGTCAGAAGAAAGATCAGCTGCCAATCTCTGGTCATCTAGAATTTTGGAGGTGCACCCATTTACCGTTATGTCATCAGTATTCTTCTATACTATCATAAAAATTAAGGGTCTACTCAGTGATAGCAGAATATAACTAGCCTGGTTTTGTAGGCATTGAAAATAACCAGCCGATTTCACCCCGCCAGTGAGCTGTTAAAGCTTGGTCAGAGGAAAGATCAGCTGCCAATCTCTGGTCATATAAAATTTTGGATATGCACCAATTGACCGTTATGTCATCAGTATTCATATATACTATCATAAAAATTAAAGGTCTACTCAGTGATAGCACAATATAACTAGCCTGGATTTGTAGGCACTGAAAATAACCAGCCGATTTCACCCCGCCAGTGAGCTGTTAAATCTTGGTCAGAGGAAAGATCAGCTGCCAACCTCTGGTCATCTAGAATTTTGGAGTTGCACCCATCTACCGTTATGTCATCAGTATTGTTATATACTAACATAAAAATTATGGGTCAACGCAGTGATGACAGAACATAACTAGCCTGGTTTTGTAGGCACTGAAAATAACCAGGCAATTTCAACCCGCCAGTGAGCTGTTAAAGTTTGGTCAGAGGAAAGATCAGCAGCCAATCTCTGGTCATCTAGAATTTTGGAGGTACACCCATTTACCGTTATGTCATCAGTATTCTTATATAGTATCATAAAAATTAAGGGTCAACGCAGTGATAACAGAATATAAGTAGCCTGGTTTTGTAGGCATTGAAAATAAGCAGCCGATTTCACCCCGCCAGTGAGCTGTTAAAGCTTGGTCAGAGGAAAGATCAGCTGCCAACCTCTGGTCATCTAGAATTTTGGAGGTGCACCCATTGACCGTTATGTCATCAGCATTCATATATACTATCATAAAAATTAAGGGTCTACTCAGTGATAGCACAATATAACTAGCCTGGTTTTGTAGGCACTGAAAATAACCAACCGATTTCACCCGCCAGTGAGCTGTTAAAGCATGGTCAGAGGAAAGATCTGCTGCCAATCTCTGGTCATCTAGAATTTTGGATATGCACCAATTGACCGTTATGTCATCAGTATTCATATATACTATCATAAAAATTAAGGGTCTACTCAGTGATAGCACAATATAACTAGCCTGGTTTTGTAGGCACTGAAAATAACCAGCCGATTTCACCCCGCCAGTGAGCTGTTAAAGCTTGGTCAGAGGAAAGATCAGCTGCCAACCTCTGGTCATCTAGCATTTTGGAGGTGCACCCATCTACCGTCATGTCATCAGTATTCTTATATACTAACATAAAAATTATGGTTCAACGCAGTGATAACAGAACATAACTAGCCTGGTTTTGTAGGCACTGAAAATAACCAGCCAATTTCACCCCGTCAGTGAGCTGTTAAAGTTTGGTCAGAGGAAAGATCAGCTGCCAATCTCTGGTTATCTAGAATTTTGGATATGCAACCATCTACCTTTATGTCATCAGTATTCTTATATACTATCAAAAAAATTATGGGTCAACGCAGTGATAACAGAACATAACTAGCCTGGTTTTGTAGGCACTGAAAATAAACAGCCGATTTCACCCTGCCATTGAGCTGTTAAAGCTTGGTCAGTGTAAAGATCAACTGCCAATCTGATCAACTTGAATTTTGGAGGTTGCACCCATCTACCTTTATGTCATCAGTATTCTTATATACTATCATAAAAATTGTGGGTCAACGCAGTGATAACATAACTAGCCTGGTTTTGTAGGCACTGAAAATAAACAGGCGATTTCACCCCGCCATTGAGCTGTTAAAGCTTGGTCAGTTGAAAGATCAGCTGCCAATCTCTGGTTATCTAGAATTTTGGAGGTGCACCCATTTACCGTTATGTCATTAGTATTCTTATATACTATCATAAAAATTAAGGGTCTACTAAGTGATAACAGAATATAACTAGCCTGGTTTTGTCGGTACTGAAAATAACCAGCCGATTTCACCCCGCCATTGAACTGTTAAAGCTTGGTCAGAGGAAAGATCAGCTGCCAATCTGATCATATTGAATTTTGGAGGTGCACCCATTTACCGTTATGTCATCAGTATTCTTATATACTATCATAAATATTAAGGGTCAACGCAGTGATAACAGAATATAAGTAGCCTGGTTTTGTAGGCATTGAAAATAACCAGCCGATTTCACCCCGCCATTGAGCTGTTAAAGCTTGGTCAGAGGAAAGATCAGCTGCCAATCTCTGGTCATCTAGAATTTTGGAGGTGCACCCATTTACCGTTATGTCATCAGTATTCTTATATACTATTATAAAAATTAAGGGTCTACTCAGTGATAGCAGAATATAACTAGCCTGGATTTGTAGGCATTGAAAATAACCAGCCGATTTCACCCCGCCAGTGAGCTGTTAAAGCTTGGTCAGAGGAAAGATCAGCTGCCAATCTCTGGTCATCTAGAATTTTGGATATGCACCCATTGACCGTCATGTCATCAGTATTCTTATATACTAACATAAAAATTATGGGTCAACGCAG